AATTATTGCACCACTGTATTCCAGCCTGGGTGACAGAGTGAGACTATCCCAAAAACAAAACAAAACAACAACGACAGCAGCAACAGCAACAACAACAACAAAAAGCAAATTATTTCAATGGCAGATAGTGGAAGCCCAGCCATGTTTACATCAGACTTGGAAAGGAGGGACTGGGGAGACCCCACTAGCATTTCATAATTCCCTTCATTCCACCCACGCCCTTTCCCCTTCCTTTTCTCACCAAGCCTGGGTTTTGATTTTGCAAGTGACTGTAACATCCCAGAACTCAGCAGAATTTGAGACTGTGACAGTTGCTGGGTCTTTGGAGCAATAAATGTTATGAAAGTCCCAAACTTGAAACCTAAAAGCAGAAAAGTCTAAACTTTTCCATCAAGGTTAGGAATAGAGACACGTGGCAGCAAGACACGCTGGAGAATCTCAGAAAGGCAGCAGGTAGGAGCATCTGCTCTGCGATTAGACAACCTGGATTCCAGCCTTAGAGGTGATGCTTCTCCTCACTAAGGTTCAGTTTCCTCCTTTGGGAAGCTAGCACAGTGAAGACCGAAAAAGATGGTGCAGAGATAGCAGCTGCATGAGACCCGGGCAAGGGAGCACTCACGGTGTCAGCAGCCCTTATTCTTCTACTTCACCACAGCCTGTGGCTGCCACTGAAAGTATGCTTTCGTTCTGACAGCAGCAGAGCATGGGGGTGAAAAAGACTAGCCATGAAACTAAGACTTCAGCACACTGTAAGTGTTCATCGGACAATTTGAAGTGATCAATTTCTGCACTTCAGGGGTTGCACAACAAAGAAGGGAAAACCTGGCTTTAAAACCAGAAATCCCAGCTCCTTTCGCTTAACTAATTGTGTGACGTCAGACAAATGGTTTAATGTCTGTACTCCCTGGTTTCCTCATCTGCTAAATAGGACACCAGGATCTACCCCACAGGATGGCTTTGAGGATTTAATGGAACAGCAGGATGTTGTGATATGGCCCCAACCACAGATTTGGTGCCCTTTTGGGGAGAACTATTAATTCAAATGGGAACCTAGAGGTGATGGTGACAGACCAAGATCCAAATAAAGAGTAACTTCTGCCGGGTGTGGTGGCTCACGCCTGTAATCCAAGCACTTTGGAGGCCAGGGTGGGCGGATCACCTGAGGTCGGTAGTTCAAGACCAGCCTGACCAACATGGTGAAACCCCGTGTTTATTTAAAAAAAAAACCAAAAAAAAAAAAAGAGTAACTTCTTTCATCCAATATTTAGCTTTACTATTATTAATTTTATGTTCCGTTATTTGCCATAAAATGGAAGCAATTATTTGTTGTTGTTTGTATTTTTTGTTGTTTTAGGCATACTATTAAAAAAAAAAAAAGCTAGAAAGAACGCCACAAATTCATCTTACTCACTTTGCCGTGGCGAGAATAGGGCTAACTATCATCGTTATTATTTCAAGTCCTCAGGGACCTTGACAAACCCCTCATAGAGGACCTAGTATATTTGAAACTTGGAGCTGATCATTTTCTAACACCTCCTTCTCTGTAGAACAAAATTATTTTCAGTTATAATTATGTTCTATGGGTAATAATCATTATTTTTGATGTTTGTTCTTTAGTTTTCAAACAGTCACCAGGCACAGTGGCTCATACATGTAATCCCAGCACTTCTGGGAGGCCAAGACAGATGGATCACTTGAGGCAAGGAATTCAAGACCAGTCTGGCCACCATGGCAAAACCCTGTCTTTACTAAAAATACAAAAATTAGTTGGGCATGGTGGCGCATGCCTGTAGGTTCAGCTACTTGGGTGGCTGAGGGAGAAGGATGGCTTAAGCCCAGAAGGTAGAAGTGAGCCACAACTGCGTCACTGCATTCCAGCCTGGACAACAGAGCAAGACTCTATCATAAAAAACAAAAAACAAAACAATAAACAAGGTGACAAGATCCATACTCCAAACCTGAGCATCACACAATATTCCCATGTTACACATCTGTACATGTACCTCAGGTATCTAAAATAGAAGTTGAAATTTTAAAAAAATTTAAAAATAAAAAGCAAAACAATTATTTAAGAAGAAGAAATTTCTATTTTAAATATATTATTTAAAATGTAGCAACTCACCAGGCATAGTGGCTCACATCTGTAATCCCAGCATTTGGGAGGCTGAGGCGGGCAGATCACCTGAGATCAGGAATTCCAGGCCAGCCTGGACAACATGGTAAAACCCCATCTCTACTAAAAATACAAAAATTGGCCAGGTGTCGTGGCAGGTGCCTGTAATCCCAGCCACTTGGGAGGCTGAAGCAGGAGATTGCTTGAACCTGGGAGACGGAGGTTGCAGTGAGTCAAGACTGCACCATTGCCCTCTAGCCTGGGCAACAAGAGCAAAACTCTGTCTCAAAAAAATAAAAAATTAAATTAAATTAAATGTAGTGACCTATTTCATTTATGAACTAATATTTGCACTTACCAAACAAAAGTGTTATGCCTTGGATTTACTCTTTGAAGTTTTAAAAACAAGTAATAGTTCTAAGTAGTCACATAGGAGGACAGAATCAAAATAACTCACATTCTGTGTTTTTGTCTTTATAGTCACCGGAATATCATTGTTTACGTCAAATCTACCTATGGTTTAAACACGGAAATATGCAGTGTCGCAGGCTCTGGACACACAGCATGAGCCAAAAGCGAGCTTGAACAACTCGGGAGCATTCTTCATTTCTTCTCAAATAAAATGTGTAGCTGAGTCCACGTGCATCAGAGTTTCACCACGGGACAAAGAAGGCTCCAAATTAACATCCATGTAGAATATTATTTTATTATAGAATAAGAAATTTAAATATGCTAATTTGAAGCTGATGTATACATTATTAAGTCTCAACAGTAATTCTGATAATTTTTCAAAATATAGACCAACCAAAAGATTTTTTTAGGTACAAATCTTTGATCACTGACATGGTGTAGAGTTGCCAACACATGGTGATAATAGAAAGCAAACTGACTTCTAGTTGGTTTTTTGGTTTTTAAATTATCTGCAGACATTACCCCCACCCAAGGCAGACAGCTATCACCCATGCACACCCCAGCACATGGGCCCCTCACCCATTTGTCAACCCAGCTGCTATGACTCCAACTTCCAACCTGAGCACACAGGCAGTAGAGATTTATGTTTATTTTTAAAAACCCTCTGTTGGCGAAGCTATTCCTATAGTTCTCTTTTTGCATTTCAGGCCATTTGGCCTTGGGATTGATTTATAGGAGGTCTAAGACATTTTTTATTGAAATATGGAACCAACAAGGTGTCCCCAGGGGAAAGCTGGCTGGTTGGCTAGTAGCCGAGGGCTCACTCAGGATGACACCAGGTTGATAAGTTTATCACAGCTCGAGTTCATTCCACAGCCTCGCAAGTCTAGAAACTGCACTTTCTCACTATTCCCAGAGGAGGTCAAATACATACCAAATGGTCAGCATATCCATTTACAGGGGGAAACATGGCATTTCCGTTACTAGAGGACTAACTCCCCTGTCTAGCTCTTCTTTGTGGTGGACCTTTGTTGCCCTCTCTGTATTTGGAGACTTTGCCCTTCATAAGTGGTATCTCCCAAAGTAGAGTAGAAGAGGGTGCTTTCCCAGACTCCCTCAAAGCTAAGATAAAGCCACAAGACCTGGATTTTTCCAATCAGATACATCCACATGAGATTTTGGCCTAGCACTGTGCAGAATCGGTTTGGTTTGGTTTGGTTTGGTTTGGTTTGGTTTGGTTTGGTTTTTAAAGAGGATCGCACTGAAGGTGATTTTAAAGCAGCAGTGACTCAGATTGGGTATCTACTTTCCAACATTGATATAGTTTGGTTGTGTGTTTCCTCCAAATCTCATGTTGAAATGTGATCTCCAGTGTTGGAGGTGGGACCTAGTGGGAGGTGTTTGGGTCAGAGGGGCAGATCCCTCGTGAATGGTTTGGTGCTGTCTTTGTGGCCGTAACTTCTCATTCTATGAATTTGTGCAAGATCTGGTTGTTTAAAAGAGCCTGGCACCTCCCCCTCTCTCTTATTTCCTCTGTCATCATGTGACATGCTGGCTCCCCTTCACCTTCCGCCATGATTGTAACTGTAACTTCCTGAGGCCCTCATCAGAAGCAGATGCCAACATCACACTTCCTGTACAGTCAATCTGCAGAACCATGGGGCAAATAAACCTCTTTTCTTTACAAATTACCTGGTCTCAAGTATTTCTTTAGAGTAATGCAAATGAACTAATACAAACATCAATGGTGACCTCTACTAGTATATCTTTGACCAAAGATGACATTCTTGGGATTGTCCCTTGAGTCATTCCATCAATAGGTCTGCTACAGGCTGCAGAGCACCCAAGCATAACCTTCTGGCTCTCCCAGTGAGTATGTGAGCTACCAAAGACCCTGTAATAAACTTCATTTTCTGCATCATTTAGCTAGAATGGGTTTTGTTATTTCCAGTATCCAAGGAAGCCAGATAAGTAATTAGGAGGCTATAGGTACAGCATATAATGTCCATAGACAGTACTGAGGAATATTTTGTGTGAGTCAAAGTGAGAACTGTCTATAAGAGAGCACCTATCTATGATTACCTTATGTCTCCCAGGTAGGCTTCTATCCCAGAGAGTGATGTTCACACAATGTCAGAGTTTGTGCCTCCTAACCCCACTTTTTATGCTGTAATAAATATGTTCTTGATGGCACTATATTAATTTCACTGATTAAATGACAAGTCAGAGTTGTTCCCATGGGCTGACACTTTCCATTTAATTTTAAGTAGTCTAATTTATTTCTACCTAATTCAGAAACCTTATATATAAACTCCCATGAGCCAACTCCTCCTATTTAATTTTATGTAATTAGTTTAATTTATTTATATTCAATTAATCAACTTTATTTCTAGGTTACTGTGGGCATCTCACTGCTATCATCATATACCATCTACAGTTGTACAGTTGACATAAGTTCTTGGAGTCTTTATTTTAAACTTTTTTTTTAGATGGAGTCTCACTCTGTCACCCAGGCTGCAGTAAAGTGGCATGATCTTGGCTCACTGCACACTCTGCCTCCTGGCTTCAAGCAATTCTCATGCCTCAGCCTCCTGAGTAGCTGGAACTGCAGGTGTGTGCCACCACACCTGGCTAAGTTTTGTAGTTTTTTTTAGTAGAGATGGGGTTTCACCATGTTCCCCGGGCTGGTCTCAAACTCCTGCCCTCAAGTGATCCACTCGAATTGGCCTCCCAAAGTGCTGGGATTATAGGCATGAGCCACCAATGCCTGGCCTTTTTTTTTTTTTTCTTTTAAAAGTAAACTCATATCATGTGAACTAAGAACCCCTCTCAAAGCAATCAAATTTTGTCATATTCACTCTCTATGAAATTTCACTAAAAGTTATTCAGTATTATAGGAAATTATTTGAACACCTTAAAGGCTACCATTTTGTTTCTAAATCAAAACTCAAATGTAAAGTTTTACTACCTTAGGTAAAAATTACTTAACTTCCTCAGATGTAATATATATAGCACTTAAACACCACTTGAAAGATGCTGCTGGGAAAAAGAGCTCACAACTCGTCCACCAGCTCTTAAAACTCTTGGGTGGTTTCTAGACAGTCCTGACAAAAGCAAAGGGATGGACAAGTGGCACCTTAAAGTCCTCAGATTCCAAAATTGTAGAACTATTCATGATGGGACTCTTAGAACTTCTAAAATCTTAAGTGTATTTAAATTATTTTGCTATATGGTGGAAAGTTACTACCAGGCAAGGTAATGACTGGTAGTGCAGAATGCTAATTTTCTAATACAAAGTTCTGACAACATAGTTGTGTTTGTTGTGTCATTTGTCTCTGTTCTCTTTGAGCTTCACAGGGTGAACAAAAGTTTACCTGGAAAGATGCTTTTGACAAATTCACTGAATTCAGAAGATTTTGCAGCTGTCAAAAGTTATTCCTGGGCTTTCAAACATCTTGCTATATTTTTGACAAGAAAATTTTCACTAAGCCATTTAAATCATATACCAGGAGTAAGCCAAAAGTTTTGAACAAAATATTCTATACTAGGCCAAGATGGATCTTTCTTTAAAAGGAAAAAAAAATACACTTAAGGGTTGAAAAAGAGGTTTTCATGTACTCACTCCCAAGAAGTAAATTTGAATGAAAATTAAATGTTTATTCAATTTTGTTTGACAAAGCATAATGTTAAAAGACAGTTTTCTGGATATTAACTTTTCAAATGGCAGATTAACTTAAATTACAAACTCTTAAAACCATAAACTAGGAGACCCAGCAACCTAGTAGAAGACTGTGACATCCATTAGCTGGTGCCATCATCATAGAAGGATGTGGTAGCTGAAATGTCCTACCAACCATTATCTGGTCCAGTGATTTCCAACCTTTACTTATTCACCTACTACTTCGGGATTTTTGTCATGTGATGTACTACATGCATTTGTATTTACTTTTTCTTTTACAATCTCTTTCTTTAAACCAACACACATTTTTATACTTACATAAATTTGATTTTGCCTTAAGCATTAATATCTATGAAATCATAGGGCTGAGGTATGTGATAAAGACTAGTTAGATGCTTACCATTTTTATTTCCTCTTCTTGGTGACACAAGAAGACCCCTCTTCAACCATCCTTGTTTTAGGCTGGCACCATATGACTGGGTTCTGGCCAATAGAATCTGAACAGAAGTGACACTTAAACTTACAAGCCTGGCCTCTAAAACATCCTGCATGTTCTTCCTTGCTCTCATTCTGCCGTCTGTGTGACTAGAAACAGTGGACTCTGAGATGGCAGAGCCTGGTTCTCTAACTGCTTAGAGAATGGTTGGCCATTAGGGCACCCAGTCCTGCAGAAGACTTCACATAAACAGCAAGTAAACTTTTATTGTGTCATGCCATTAAGACTTTGTAGTTGTGTTTGGTCCTCAAGATCACACTTTGGTTTAATGATTCAGTAAAAGGACTCACTGAACTTTAAAAGACTGTTATGCTCACAGTTAATTACAGCGAAAGGACAGAGATTAAAATCAGCAAAAAAGCACATAAGCTATTTCTATTGGTCAGAGGCCAGGAGAGTCCAGGCATAAGTTTTCAGCTGCCCTTTCCCAGTTGAGTCATGTAGACAGTACTTAGTTCTCCCACCAATGATGTGTGACAACACGTGCTAAGTATTGTCAGCCAGAGAGTCTCACCAGAGTCTGCGTGTCCAGAGTTTTTATTGGGGGTTTAACAACGTAGACATGGCAGATTACCCAGGTGGATGACCTTTTCTCCATCCCCTCCAGAGGTCAAGCTGATGTCGTGCTGCTCAAAATTCCCACCATAAATTACATTGCTACTACAGACTCTCTGATGGGCCAAAGGTGTCTGGCAAAGACACACATTCTTAACAGGCAAAATGTTCCAGGGGCTTAGAAATTATTTCCCACGATCCAGGTAAGTGCCAAAGCTTTCTTTAGAAGAGGCAGGGTTTGGGCCACTCATACTTTCTTGTTGATCCTTTACTACATGGTAGTCTATTTGCTATATAGCAAGGCCTAATCTACCCTGGCTAAAATGTAATGTATAATATATATATTATTATATGTTATATAATAATAATAATAAATAGTTTAAATATAAATATAAATGTACCTAATGTATAAAGTATAGATTTGTCTAACACACATGAAAATAAATACACAATAAAAGAAATATTTATTCACATAGTTCCTGAAATTATCTTGTATAATTGAAACATGAGTATAATACTAACAGTAGTACACATATCATACTTTAGAGAATATTGATCTGGTCTAACCTCTCATGTTAAAATGTGAGAAAGTTAAAGAGCCCAACTCCACACTGACTTTTGTCCAGGGGAAAAGACCGTGGTCTGGAAGGAAGGATTATTGGACAACATGGGGTCTGAGGCAGCAATCACACAGATGAGTTCTCAGCAGCTTCTCCAGGCAGGGATGTCCAAGGGCTATGATAGAAAGTTCTCAGGAGCTACGAACCTCTGGAGCCTACCAATCCCTAGCCCCTGGGTTGTTCGGACAATCTTGGGGCACCCTGCCCCAAGAAATTTACCAAGCCTTAATGTCAATCTCGATGTCTCTTTCTCTCTCTCTCTCTCTCTCTCTCTCTCTCTCTCTCTCTCTGTCTTCAAATCTCTTCCATGAGTATAAGCTCCCTGGATTCTGTTCCTTTACAGCACTACAGGGTGAGGGGAACACAAAGGTATGGACCTAGGGCTGTGACTTACAAACCCAGAGCTCGTAAAAACCGGATTTATTCAGTTTCCATGCTTTAACATTAACGTTCAAGAGAGAAAAGTGAGAATGGCCCAGCTTGGCCCAGTCGGTTGTGACTACAGGGCTCCAGGTTAGGTGGTCAAATGGCACCACCAAGAGAGATGGAGCTCCTGGGGGGACGTGGATGGGCAGAAACCATCCATTTATCTTGTGCAATAGACAATCATGGGATAATAGAACAAGGGTTGAAAACCCATCCTCCAAGTAAATGACAGATCTTCCAGAACACAAGTCTGGCCCTTCATTTAAAATTTTCATTTTATCTGAACCAACCTTTTCTTCTAAGGGTCAATCCAATTACTTGGGACAAATACCAGTGGCACTCTGATCCTCTATCAATCCTCGGAGGACAGATCTGAAAAGGGAGGGCTGGAAGAGCAGCAGGGTCTCAGTCTCATGGGCCATCCAAATGGCTCCTCTGTGTGGATGGCAGTTTAGAATTACAGCTCCAGGGACCCTGGATGAGATCTGTTCACGAAGACCACAGACAGATCCCTTGTCTTCTTGCTTCTCTGGACTTGGTAGTTTATGAAGGACTGTTATGGTTCTGCTCCCAATTTGTCCTTAAAGCCATTTTTATTTTTCAAATGCCAAGTGGTTGTAAGTCTGGCCAATGGCAAACAGCATCAGGTTTTTGCTTCATTTTGTTTTGTTTTAGCTACATTTCAGGGTTCCCTGAGAAAGTGGACCGACGTGCGCCAACTCGTTCTTTGGAGCCAGGATGATACAGGCTCAACTCCTTATCAGAATGGATGAAAACCAGAAGCTCTGAAATTCCAAAGAAACAAAAATATAAGATAGGCACAAAATCACTGGACAATGAAAAAATGAGATATTTTGTACTTTTTGTGTATCGCTTTAGTTTGAATGTTGATATGTTTCACTGCTAAAATATTAATGGATTTGATTACAGGGTGCTACTCCAGACCCCACTGGGAGTATTAAGTACTCTATGGAATACATGTCATATCCCCCTTCTAATCCTACTGAATTTCAAAAACATCTGGCTTCAATCCTTTTGAATAAGGAATTGTGGGCTCATTCAATAGACACAGCAGTACCTTTGGCCCAGACAGGCAGGCCTGGATTTTGAATGCCCTCTTTAGTTCTGTGGCAAGAGACTTCCCTTCCCTGGGCATCAGTTTCCTCCTCTGTAGAATGGAGTTAATCATGGTAACTTCCTCTTGGGGAGGTGGGGAGGAGGGTAGTTGGGATTAAATGGGATAATTTCTATAAGGAATTTAAGAGCCTCCCTGGTTCCCCAGTCCATGCACAACAAAGAATATTTTTCACCTCATAATATCCCCACTCTTTCCACAGAAACCAGGCCCAGCAATTCAACAATCAAAACACGAAAGAATGGGAAACAAAAAAGTCATTCCCAATAAAAGAAAGGCACAAAAGCAGAGATTGACAAGATAATTATCAGAAATGCCACCATGCTTTCAATGAGTAAGGCGCTCACATGGGGCTGCACATGAAAACCAGTAATAACAAACATCTACTCTCATAGGTATCTCTTTATGCTTCTCTTGGATTGATTTTTTTATGGTCTATTAACCGATTCTAACAATTGGTGCAATTATGTGGGTGGCTGGGTAATTTCCTTTCTGCATTGGTCCTGTCATCCTGGTAAGGGATGGGTTGTAAACATTGCCAGCATTATTGACCTATCGACTCCAGAACCCCACGCTGCTTTATTATTTGTTCCCCTTTTGAGATGAACTCCTTACTTAAATACTTCACCGCAGTCCGGTCAACTGCAAAGCATCACAATATTTTTCCTTAATGTGAAATCTATGCATGTGAAAAGTCCAGGAACATGTAAATATACGGGTTTCATGAACTTTGTTTAAACCTGCAGAGGGAAGGAATCCAAGAAGCAATTGTATGTAGCATTTTGACTTCTATTTTAACATTTTTAATAAAGTAACCAAAAGAGTCTTTATGCTTAGTCCTCTCCAGTACAAAACAGGACTGATTGCTACTCTCTATTTGTAGTTCTGTGTTTAAAAAAAGAGAGCTTTGAGGCAGTCTCTCTGGCCCTCAGGACTGCTGGGGTCTGTTCACTGTGACTTCCATGGGCACAGAATTGGGAAGATGTAGCACAAGAGTGGCAATTTTGCAAATTCTACTGCGTATTTTCCAAGTGTTTCTCTTCATTCATTTATTTACCCATCATTCATCCATCTATCCTTGGCCTTTTCCCTGCCAGTCACTGAACTAATGTAGGGATGCAAAAGAAAGTAAGACACTGCCCCCATGGGTGAGAGAGACAGACTTTTCATTTAACAGTTCATGATTAACTAGAAGAATGTTTTCTTGTTAAAATGAAAACCCTATCATCATCATTAGGGCATCAATCCTGCTCTTTAGGAGGGTGAAATCTGATCCCTGGAGGTCCTCTTTTTCCAGAGAGAGCTTGGATGGGCAAGGTTCGGCAGAATGAATTCTGTGTTATGAAGGCATGGGATGTGTGAGGCGTCCCAGAGAAACTGCAGAAAATAGGGACTGGCACCAGCAAGACTGAGCTCCAAATGGAGGGAAATGCTGAGCACTGGAATAGTTAAATGGCTTCAAGAGGAAGGAGAGCTTCAAGAGACGGAGTCATGGCCTCCAGAATCAGAGGTCTCAAGGGAGAAGTGGAACTTGGACAAAAGTTGGAAGGGATTCCAGTTATTACAGTTTTGCATTATAAGGTAGCCTAAAACTTGGCGACTTAAAAATATACATATTATTTGGCCAGGCACAGTGGCTCACACATAGCGCTTTAGGAAGTGAGAGGATTGATTGAAGCCAGGAGTTCAAGACCAGCCTGGGCAGCAAAGTGAGACACCATCTCTACAAAAAACGTTTAAAAATTATCCAGACATGGTGGTGAATGCCTCTATTCCGAGCTACTTGGAAGGCTGAGGCAGGAGGATTGCTCCGGCCCAGGAGTTCAAGGTTTTAGGGAACTATAATCACAGCACTGCACGTGAGCCTGGGTGAAAAAGTTAGACCCTGTCTCTAAATATATATATTATTTTATTGTTCCTCACAGTTTGCACATGTCAGGAACTCAGAAAAAAAAACTTGGTGAGGTGGTTTTGGCTCAGGGTGGGTTACTGGCTGGAGCCAGTAACATTTAACACTGTGAGTTAAAGGAAAGGGGCCAGGAGCAGCCTGTGAATGGCTGGTTGTCTCTCTCGTCGTGGAGTTTCTCCATGTGGTCTCTCAAAGTGGGATAGTTTGAGCTTCCTTATAACATGGCAGCTATAGGGCAGTTGGACTGCTTTATGATGGTACTGGGCTCCAGAACAAGTCTACAGTTCTAGTGCACAGGATGCTTTTCATTCCCTAACCTTGAAGTCATGCAGCATCACTTTTGCCACATTCTATTAGTTACAAAAACGTCATAAGCCTGCCTAGATTCAAGGAGAAGGGAACTGACCCTTACTGTGTGATGCGGGGTAGCAAAATTCTAAAGAGTAAGTGGGATAGGAGCTATAGTCACGGGTGCCTTTGGAAAATGCAATCTGTCTCAGAATGACAAAGGCTGGGGATTGAGAAAGCTGCTTATACCTGAGTACCTGTGTGCTGCCTGTTCTGCAACCAGCCTAAAAGCTCTGCCCTAGTCCCGCTAAATGAGAAATTAAATGCTCCCACTAAATGCTCTCCCCAGCAGCCTCTGTGGTAGTGTACCCGGTACCACTGCCAACAGGCTGCCAGACCCCTCTCTCCTCACCGCCCAGCACCTCTGAGTCCCACTCTGCGTGTCGTCCCACAGTCTGCTCACCTTCCCTACTGCCTGACACTGACATGATGGCCTTCTGCATGCTGTCTTAGTTTCCAGGGGCTGCCATATCAAAACCCATAAGCTGAGTGGCTTTAAACAACAGAAATGTGTTTTCTCACAGTTCTGGAGACAAGAAGTCTGAAATCAAGGTGTCAGCAGGGCCGGGCTCCATCTGAAGCTTTTAGGGAAGAATCTTTCCTTCCTCTTCCCACCCCCTAGTGGTTGCTGGTGGTCTTTGGCATTCCTCCACTCAGAGCCTCAGCATTTCAACCTCTGCCTCCGTCACACGAGGTCTTCTTCCCTCTTCTCAGGACACCAGTCACTAGATCAGAGCCCACCCATCTTAGTCAGTTGAGGCTACTATAACAAAACACCAGAAACAGAGTGGCTTACAGGCAACAGGAATGTACTGCTCACAGTTCTGGAAGCTGGGAAGTCCAACGTCAAGATGCTAAGAGATCCAGTGTCTGGCAAGGGCCCATGGCACAGACAGCAGATTTTTCACTATAACCTCACTTGGTGGAAGGAGTGAATGAGCTCCCTTGTGCCTCTTTCATAAGGGCATAGATCCCATTCCTGGGGGTTTCACTCTGATGACCTAACCACCTCCTAAAGGCCCCACCTCCTAATGCTGTCACCTTGGGAGTTAGGATTTCAACATATGAATTTTGGGGGACATAAACATTCAGACCATAGACCACTGCAGTCCAGTATGATCTCATAAATTGATTATATCTGCAAAGACCCTAGTTCCAAATAAGATATCAGGTACCAGGGACTAGGACTAGAATATATCTCTTGGGGAAACACCCCTCAACCCACACACTTGCCAGTGAGCCATGGAAACCCCAGAGTCACCACCAGGCTTTAGGACTGTTACTTCCTCCCAAACTCAGTCTCTTCCCTCTTTGAGCAGAGCTGCCACCTCCCATTTGGCAGGACTTCTCTCCTTAATGGGACTGTTAGTGACACATAGTTTGGCAAGAACTGTGTCCATGTCTCTGCCAACATCTCTGTGTATTGCAACCCCCTCGGCAGCACTAGTGTGTGTATTCACACATACACACACACACATACACACACACATGTGCCACCTGACTCCACAGAAAATGGTGTTGAGAGCCACAAACAGGGGATTATTGATTTTCTCTTCTCTCAGCTTTTCATTAGTGCCCACAATTGCTTTTGTTCTACTGGCTTCCTTTACCTAGCTTTCTTTAAAATGAGATGTATTAACATCTCAGGCTGGCGTTGCTGCAAAGTTTAAAAAATAAAATAAAATGAATGTGTTAGCAGAAGGAGCCCAACTTTTTTCCATGAACTGAATGGCTCACCGTTTCTCAGACTTGTCTATCCACTGGGCCTTTCAGGAGTCCAGATGCAGACTTCTTCCTAACAGCCTCTTCAATTACAATAAAAGGGGAGCAGTCAGTGGAAGAAACGCTCACCTGCATTTTGCATCCTTTGATCTGAGAGAGAAATAAAGCTACAAACCCAGTTTGTGGGAGTCCTTGTGTTGATGAATGAGAGCCTCACTACACTGAGAGAGACAAGACTATAAAGGGCCACATTTTGACTCTTACCTGAAGGACATCACCTGTCCTTTGTTATTCTGTCGTGAGACATGAATACAATTTAAAAATCACCCACATTTAGGTGCAATGGCTCACACCTGTAGTCCCAGTATTTAGAGGGGCCAAGGTGGGAGAATCACGTAAGGCCAGGAGTTCAAAATCACCCTGAGCTACATAGTGAGGCCCCTGTCTCTACCAAAAAAAAAAAAAAAGTAATCCGCCAGGTGTGGTGATACAAGCCTGTAGTACCAGCTACTCCAGAGGCTGAGGCACTTGAGCACAGGAGTTTAAGGCTGCAAGGAAACATAATCATGCCACTGCATTCCAGCCTAGGCGACAGAGTGAGACACTGTCTCAAAAACAAGAAAAAAATTCACATTTAAATTTGATCACACATGTGCTCAAACCAAAAAGCT